ACCAATGCCATTAATCTTAAATCTCAAACCTGAAAATCTAATTCACACTCTTTCAAGAATTAATTACATACATCAACCGAATAATATGTAATTGAATAAATGCACAATTATCAATCCAAACGAAGAACTTCAATTTGAAATCATAATTAGCAAAAGGAGAAAGAAGGAAGAGATGAAACCGAATTTGTTGTTGAATGAATTGCGAAACCAATCTTCAAGAGTGTCTCAGCCCCTTTTCAATCCTTGGACTAGAAGGAAGTCTAAGCCTCCATTAATGGAGGAAAACAAAAGGTAAAAACGGAAGAGAAAAAGAAGAAGAAAATAAAAACCCTACAACATAAACCTAATCTAACCTAACGTCCAACCAACCCTTTTACAGCCTGCTGCCCTAATTTAAATACATAATCTTAAGGGTTAAAATATAAAAACTAACTAATAATTATTCAATTACATTAATCCTCTACTCAATAGCTGTCTCTGGAATCCTTATTTGTTCAAGTTTAAATTTTGGAGGGAAAGTTATGCTTGTAATTGCTGCCAAGCATCCATGCTGAATCTGAGAAGATATTGTGTGGCATTTTTGGCTGTGAATATCTATCCGCTTTGATTTCTGATATGAAGAGAAATTGTAGCCCTGGATGTTAGCTTCAAAACTCAACTAGAATGGGCTTAAACGGACATCTATGGACTGAGATATGACCTAAATACTGCACCAAGGTCAGTTTCAGCTTCTTATCATCAGAATTGGTTTCTGACCTCTTATAAGAATTGTGCGCCTTTCTCTCAGCTTTCTTACAAATCAAGAATTACAATGAAATGAGTTATACAACTCAAGATATGGTCCAGAAACCGAAACAGTATCAGAATTTGCCAAATACTAGAAAAATTAAATAAAGCCCAAATAAAATTCAAATATCATAAAATGATCCAATTCAAACTAATTAGGCACAAAAGATGATTAATGAGCTAGGAATGAGAGGAAATAAGGTTATAAAAATTTAATTGATCACATAATAGACCAGAATTATGCAATAAATCTAGACAATATTTGCGCTAACAAAGAGAAATTCCCGTCTCAGAGTGGCAACTTCCAATCCAAGGAAATATTTTAACACACCAAGATCTTTAATTCAAAAATTAGAAAGGAGAATGTCTTTGATGTTAGCAATTTCTTTGACAGAATTTCCAACCATCACAATATCATTGACACATATAATCAAAATAGTGAATTCATCATTTTCAACCTTTATAAACAAATTATAATAAGCCTAAGCCTATTGATACCCATAAGAGAAGAGCAAAACTAATAAATTTTCATACCACTTATGACTAGCTTGCTTCAAATCATATAAAGATTTCTTCCGTTTATAGCACTGTGATGATGTGTGGCCGTTGACACTAGGAGGAATAATCATGTAGACATCTTCTAAAAGAATCCGTGCAGGAAAGCATTGTTAACGTCAAGTTGTTATAATTGCTAACGATTAACAAAAGCTAGAGCAAGAACAACTCGAATGGTGGCCATTTTAACGACAGGGGAGAAAGTCTAAAAGTAATTAATTCGTTCAATTTGAGCAAAACCCTTTGCTACAAGACGTACTTTATAACACTCCATACTGCCATTAAATTTGCATTTAATTTTGTATACCTATTTGCAACCAATGGGCTTGACATTTGAAGAAATATCTACAATGTCCTAGGTATTCAAAACAAGCACCTGTATCTCAGTGTTCATGGCTTCTCTCCAACAAAGGTGCTTGACAACCTCCTGATAGTTGGTTAGCTCAAGCTCAAATGATAGACACATTAGATAATGATGGTGAGAAGGAGATAAGCGTGAGTAATTTACTACTAACTTGATGGGATATGGACATTTGGTGGATGATTAGGGAGGAGCAAGCATTGCATTCATAATCATCATGGTAAGAGGGTTTATTACTAGGATAGTTGGAACGACGCAAGAGAGGGGTTCTAGTGTTTGCTTTGTTTGGGTGAAAAAGAGAATAGGTCAGATTGGGTGATTTTGGGTGTAATAATTTTCTGTAGGTTTTGGAGATTTTGGGTTGAATTGGGTTTTAGAGTAGAAGAAGGGAATAATGCATCTAAGTGATATGTGACAAAGGAAGAGATGAATTAAATGGGTGAGAAATAACATTGTTTTGAAAATCCTTTTGTTGGAAAGGAAATATCATTTCTTAAAAATAACATTTCTAGAGATAAAAATTTTCTTTAGTTTGCAAGTAAAAAAATAACGCACCCTTTTATGCCATTTTGAAAATCTAAAAATGCTTCACGTCGTGATCGAGGATCAAATTTTTGATGACGAGTTGGTGTGGATGCATAGCATAGACAACCAAAATTTTGAGCATGAAGAAATTAGGAGCTTGTTGATACAACAGTTCAAAAGGCGTTTTGTTTTTAATGACTAGTAATGAAACTCAATTGACGAGATAAACATGTTTAATGGTGTAGGATTAAAAATGTTTGAGTATATAATCTTGAAACATAAGGGCTCTTGTTACATTTAAAATATGTTGATGTTTTTTTTCAACTCTTCCATTTTGTTGGGGAGTATAAACACAACTTATTTGATGAATAATCCCTTTGAAGAAAAGATATCTTTTAGGAAAAAAATAATAATTCAGGTCTATTATAAGAACAAATGCACTTAGCCTAAACAATGAAATTGTGCACATTTAATTTTACTTCAGACTTTGATTCAATAGGACAACTTAAGTGTAACGAATATCATCAAGAATGGTTAAAAAATATTTATGACCATAAGCAAAGGTTTTAGAGAAAGGACCCCAAATATCCATATGAATTAAATAAAATTTTTTGGAAATTCTATTATTGTTTTGAGAATATGACAATTCTTTTGCTTGATTAAATGATAAATATCACAATATTCATTGATATGTTTACCAATAAAAGGAAACATTTCATGTAAAACATTAAGACATTTGTTGGATAAATGTCTTAATCTATAGTGCCAAAAATTGGAGGAGAAGACGAGAGGAGTGATAAAGGCATTAACATGGGAGATTCTGGATGCATGAAATTGCTTTTCTTTGTTAATTATATAGACCTTGCTTCAATTTAGCCAAACCAATCATCTTTAATAAGTTCGCTTGCTATATTTTACAAGAAACATTAGAGAAAGTAAGTTTATATTTAAGGATAGAAATTAATTTAGATATGGAGAGAAGGTTAAAGTTGAATCCATGAACATAAAACGCATCATGAATACCAATGGTTGATTTAAACTAGATAGTTCCTAAAAATAAGTTGTGACAATAGCACCATTAGACAAATTAATATTGATAGGTTTTATTTTTGAATAAGCTTGAAAATAGTGCAGAGATTAGGCAATATGATTAGTTGCTCCTGAATCTATAACCCAATGTGCATTATGTGAGGAATTATTGAGAGTGTGTGTACGTTGTGATTCATTTTATGAATGAAGATGCAGAAAGCAAAACAAGTACCTTAATTTGGACCAAGAAAATGAGTTAGGCCCTTTTTAGAGACTTGGGAGAAGTTAGCATGAGTGGGCTAGATATTATCATTTGGGCCTACACTATTAGTAAGAGAAGGTTATTGTTGGAGTAGATCCATAAGATGCTGTCATCAAGAAAGCAAATGTCATCAAGTCCCTTAAGAAAGCAAATGATAAAATCTTGTTCGTGGTATCTCTTTTCTGAGCAGGTGCAAACGGGAATTGGGCGATAATTATCCAGCTCCTTTGAAAGGGTTTTCAAGCTAGTGTAGTAGTTTGTGACAGTGCAAGATTTTTGTCTAAGTTTGTAGATTTCTTCCACTTAGTGATGTGCAACAAATCACTTTGTGAAAAACATTCTCGCAAATTTTTCCAAATATCAATTGCACAATTGAAATAAATAATGCTTTGAACAATGAATGGAGACAACAACTTCAAGAGTCAAGACATGATGAGAGTGTTGCATCTCTCCCAAAAAGAAAATAAAAGGTTTGTGGTAGCATAAACAAGTATGAAATTGTTTAAAAATTCAATGTTATTTTTGGAAATGAGAGCCATTTTGAAGAAGCATAACCATGAATGCTAGTTGTTACCTATACGAGTAAGGATAATAAGGACTGACGAAAGACTCTCACTAAGGTGTATATAATAGGGACTAGAAAGGTTTTGGCCTGAGTCATCATTTGAAGTATCAGTAAAAATAAGACTAGAATCATTATTAGAATTGGTGAAAGTTGTGTTTGACATGATGTAAACAGTACCATAAAAGAGAAAAGACAAAGATTGAACAACAATGATATAAAGTAAAATTGCTATGCATTATTAAATTTATGTATACAAATATATATTAAGTAATGACAATATATAGTTTAGATTATTCTAAAAGCTAACAAATATTTATAGCCTATAATTAACTTCTTTTCTAATATATAATAATATATTAATGTTGTATGATTGATGTGTTTTATTTTGTGTTTACTAATTATGTGAACTATAATTATTAAGTATATATAAAAGGATTTTTATATAAATAAAATAAAAAATATAAAATTTTAAATGTTATTTTAAAAAAAATCTTAAATTACGGCTTATTTTATTTAATACCACTTGTTTGAATAGAAAGATGATATATATATTAAAAAATTATTTTATTTTATATTAATTTAAATTCGTATTTAAATCACTATAATTTTATATTTATTTTAAAGTTATTAATTTTATATTATAATTTTAAATATAAATTACAATGTTTTTAAAATATTATTCATGAAAAATAATTTATGACTCTCATAGACCGTTTTAGTTAATAAATTTATTTATTTAATTGCCTCCCATATAAAATATCTGTTTAAAAAAATATTTTCCATTTATTTTAATAAATTTAATTATTAAATTTAAGACATAGGTAATTATTTTAAAAAAATTATTAAATAGATATTTAATCCAACAGCCAGCCCCAGCCGAACGCACTCTGCCTCCCGCTTTCTTTAAGCGACGCCCCTAAATCAATGCTTCTCCAAATACACTCTGAGCTTTGATTTGCGATTTCTAGTATGATGAACCCTAATCCCAATCTCGTTTATGGTTTTCCTAATCTTGATGAATCTCGTTTATGAATTTGCTTAATCTTACAGTCTCATTCATGCACATACAGTTTTGGTCGCGATTCATAGTCAATTCGTGTGCATTGGTTAGTCTTCTGTCTCTCTGTTTGAAATTTAATATGAAATACTTGTTTATTTGTTCACCCATGATGCTTCATATTCTGTTAACATTTTTTCTTTGCAATCTGCAGTGTTCCGTTGTTCGAGTTGAACCTGCGCTCTGTTTTCCTGATATACTTTTGTTCAAGTCCCGTTGCTCATTGCGCTCCCGGGTATGTTGTGTTCTTGCTTCTTGCTTTTAGTCACTTGGATGCTACTGGTTTAACTGCAATGCTTGAAAAGTGGGAATGAGAGCAACATTAGTATTTCAATATCCTAAAATATACTAATATTCATCTCTTCTGTGTATGATCAATATTTATCTAGAGAACTACTTGGTGAAAGGTATCTAAAGCATACATTAACTTCATAAAATGTAAATAAAGTGAATCAGGGACACAATCGTGTTTAGAACCAAGCTAATCATTCATTTATAATTTTATATGATTCTTCAATGTTTCCTTACACTAGCCATTTGAAGATCCTTAACAACTTAAACAAAAATAAGACATATAACAAAACTTAGAAGAACAAAAACCAAATCAACCCAACCTCACACTGAAACTAATGATTGCAAAAGTGAAAGAGAAACAGAGTAATTGAGGATATTACTGACACAGCACAACAATGAGTATTGAAAACTGAACTTGTGGGAGGAATTCTGAAAACTTATTCGAATTGACAACTAATTGAGAAGGAACCAAAATGTCCACATGCAAGAAATGTAGAAAAGTGCTAAAGCATACACATTAAGACAGTATATGAGACTAAGAGTAAATTAAAGGGTTGAATTGAAATTAAACTACTTAGAGAAATTCTTTTAAAACATTGAGTAATTAAATATGATGAGTATCACAAGAGCACAAAAAGGAAAAGAAGGATTCTTGAGGTTGCTTGTGCAGGGTGTTGGTGTGATCATAATTAATAATATCGAGTAAATATTATGAAAATGGTAACAGCCATAACGGTTCTCACAAAGTTAACCAAGAAAAGGTAACAGCCAAACAGGCACTGCATGACTCAACTCAACCATCAAAGGATTTGACAGTGTAATGCACCACTGTAATTCATTGTTATGCCATCAAGATTCATATGATATAGTACAGTCTAAAGGTCTAATATACTTGTCCAGACCTTGCAATATCCTTTTGCATATATTAACTGATGGGTTCTTTGGCTTTTCACAAATAGCAGTTATCCATGTTTGTAGTATGAATGATGTTTGGATAATAATACAGCGAAGGAAACAAAAAGATGATGCATATTTGCCTTTAACAGTGTCTGAATTGAGTTTTTTATTGATATGAGTCATGTTTCAAAGTTTGGAAATGAATGAGCATAAGTTATTGTACAACACCAGCCAAAGCCTACCCTCCACAGGGATTGAAATTCAAATGACATGATTTTGTTCTGTCAACATAAAATCTTTAGAGATGTTTAGATTTAAATCTTTTCTTGGTGTACTTCTACCTCCAATTATTGGACTATCAGAAATTGGATCAACCCATTCAACTGGAGCTTCTATTTGTCTTCTTCTCACATGTCCAGAAGAAATGAGGATACTGTACAAAATAAAACAAACTCTAAATTTTATTTTTATCTTTTTTAAATTGAAACTATGGAGTTATGGATTTCTCCAATGATAATCTGTTCCGTGAATTGCACACAATCATTTACAGTGAAATGAACTGAATTTTATTTTTAACTATTATCCTAGAAACCTTCCCTGTACTTCATTTTAACTTGTTTCCATTCCACTGTTATTGTTAACAAAAAATAGATTAGACTACAATTTTTTTTCCCACAATGAGCGTGATTCAGTATATTCATAATTTTAATATCTTTGACCACTGCTTCTACAAATTGCAACTTTTAAATCATTCAACTCAAGTATCAGTAATTGTAACTAAGCATATCACTTTTGTGTATGATAAGTATTTATCTAGAGAACAACTAGGTGAAAAGAATCAAAGCATACACTAACTTCATCACATGCAAATCAAGTGAATCAAGCCCAAAACATGTAAGAAAACTAAATTCCAGAGAACTAATTAATTAACATTAACAACATGAGAGTTCAGTCACCACTTAAGCTTCTTATTATGAAAAATTAGAATGTTAAAAGATTTTCCCCAAGATATAATATAAGACTATAAGCTTCAATACTTCTGTTAAAGTTGTCCAATATACTATTTAAAGAAAAAATATGATATATTATTCTTGGTTGAGCAGCATTTATAGCCATTACAAAATGTGTATTCAAATGAAGCACATAAGAACATGCAATGAGAAAGTGAAGTCCCTATTTTCGAATGATTTTCAATGCAAAATCATTTGAGTTTGTTCTTGCCAACAGCATCTATGAGAATTGCTGTCTTATACTGTTATACATACAATTTTGCAGTAATTGAACCACCAATTTTGCCTAATTGTTCTTAGTTTAAGCATTCAATTTTATATTCATTATTCAGCATTTTGGTAATAGTTTTTCCCCTTTGGTCATTGATTCTCATGTCATGTGATAAAAGAAACTATTTGACCTCTGCCATCTTTTGAATCTTGTAATAGTTATTTGAATAAATGCATCGCTTTTCTGCACAACTGAGTATGAACTATGAGATATTGGCCTAGTTTGGGTAAACTTTTACAGAAGTCCTTATAAAAGAAATAAATCAGCATAGAAAATGAATAAAACTTCTCCCATAAGTTAAAAACAACTTGTCTCTTCAAATTTTAGAGAAGTTAAGTGAGATAATTTATTAGAACTTCTAAAAAATTAGAGAACTATGAGTTGTTTGTACCTTATAGGTGAAATTTTATTCATTTTTTATACTGATTTTTTTGTTCTATAAGGACTTCTCTATAAGTTTACCCAAACTGAGCCATTATTTGGTTATTGAATGATGGCCTCTTGTGTTGTTTTCAGATTTAGCTTTTGGAGTGATGAAAAGAAAAGGCAAAAGCAAAACAGAAGAACTTATTGTGGAAAAGAAGACAAAAAGGAAGAACAAAAAAAATGTTGATGCTGAGACAGACATTACATTGAATATTCAAGGTAAAGTTGTTTCTGTAGCTCACACCCTTTTTTATTTTTAATATGTATATTTTAATTTGTTGAGTTATGACATGTAATACTTGAATATATGTTTTAATTATGTATAATGTATGATAAACAGTAGATGAGGCTTCTACCTGGTAGAGCTTGGGGGTGTAGTTGTACTCAACCTTACCCCTGGAAGTTAAATAGAAAAGCCTCTGTCATAGATTTGAACCTGTGATCTCCTAATTACTAGGCAGCCACTTTACTGTTGTGCCATGGCTTGCCTTGGTATAGTATATAATATATTAAAAAAAACTTAACATTACTCATGAATATGCATTCATTACACTAATAAGTTAATAATGTAAAATATTATATCCTCAAAACAGCATCAACAAGGCCATTTTAAAAAAATAATAAAGAAATACGAACCAGTTCAACTGAATTTGATCGATTCTAGACAGGTTGGTTGGTTTTCTATAAATTCTTTGTACAGCCAGATTTGTGGGCTGTCATATGGATTGAATACGTGACCAGTTCACCAGTTTTTAATCATTGGTTTGCTATAATGTGTTGCATTATTGCATAGTTGTCAGTAGCATGCAATAGCGGCAGTACATGGTGGAGCAGCCTTTGGCTGCCACAGATCTTCATAGAGCTTATAAAACAAAAACTGATGGAAGAATTTTATTATGAACCAGAAAGAAATAAGCCTGAGAGCAAACCAGAGCAGAAGCTCCTAAGAGAATACAAAATTTCTCTCTCAACCCAAAATGCAAATCCATAACTAACTCCCACTATTCTCTCTCAAATTTCCTACTCCCCTAACCAACTTGCCAGCCTAGCATTCTCCTCGCTCTCTCACCTTGCTTGTTTTCCTTTACTCACGAGCATACATTTTCCAAATCCTTGGCCTTACATCATTTAAACCCACATTCTGGTCCAGTACTCTATTAGATCTGATATAGCAGAGCGTTTGGCTGTCAGAGCAATTGTGACTGTACTCATGGCCCAAAATGTGGCCTTTTGTGGCATAATAGTGCTACTACAGTGAAAAAGCCAACTTCCCCCTTTTACCCTCTAAATAAAGCAGTTTTTAGGGTTTTTTAAGGCTAAAAACGACTTCTCACCTTGCAGAAATAAGTTGACTTTCCATTTTTCCCCTTAAGATGATACAGTTTTGAGTTTCTTTTTAAGAGTCGGTAGAATATATTTCTTCCCAGTTTTCAGAATACATGACCTAACCCCACTTTTTCCCCCACATTTTTCTTCTCCCCTTCTCTGTTCAATGCTCCCTCCTCTCATCTTTGTCTCTTTTGCTCCGCAACTATCTCTAGTCCATCAGAGCTACCCCAATCTCTGACAACTTCTCTGGCAAAATCCACTTCCTTTCTTCTTTCTATTTTTTTATTCTGAGGTGCTGCCTCTGTTATGTTATCTGCTGTGTCTTCTAAGCAACAGTGGACAGCTAGCAATGGCATCATATAATTGATTTACTTGTGTCTTTTGCTTAAGACCCATGTCTTTTGTTGATAATTATTCATATGCTTTATTTTTGAATATTTTTTGAGCATTATATGCATAATTATCTGTATATGTATATAATGTATTTCCATATAATCATCCCACTATATGCTATCTTGCTATAGCATTTTGAGGGTTGTCTGTCACTTGCTGATACCCTGATTGATATCTAGGGTGTGTTGTATATCTTCTTTTAAAATGGTAGTTGGAGAGAAGTTAAAAGTGAAACCAAATAGAAATTGGAAGAGTAAAGGTAAAAATATAGTTGGAAGATAGTAGCCAAAGCATGGAATTGATTTAGAAAAGAAAAAATGGTGAGTGGGTGGTTGTGGGATTTGGCACCATGTGAATAAGATATATTGCTGTCAATAAGCTTAGAACTGGATATTTCTTTTATAATGTTTTGGTAAAATATGTTGTACAGATTATGTTAATTTTTACTCCCTTTCTATCAGATGGAGTTGTGAACGATCATGCCTTGGAAGCTAAAGAGATCCAAGACTTTAAGGAGCATGGAGTAGCAAATATTGTAGCAGCAATTAAACCCTGTATTGAAAACATTTTCTGGTTTAATATTCATGATGGAGTTTTCTTCCCTCTCTTGTAGGTAGGTCAAAGAAAACTAAGAAAAAGAGGAGAAAGGAAGAGAGTTTTGGGAAGGAGCTTCCAAAGTCACCAGAAAAGGAAGGGGCCCCTGATCTTGATGAGATTTATGTTGTTTCTTCTGGAGATGAGGACTGTTCAAAAGGAATGAAAAGTATGAATTGTTAAACTGATGGGATTATTTTACATGCATTTAGAAATATCCAAATATTGTGCACCTGAAAATTTTATTTGCTTGATACACATGGGATAATGGGCTTATATTTTGCAATGTTTCAAGTGGTGGCAAGATTAATGCATGTTGGGCTATTTACATCCTCAGCAAGTTGGATTGAGATGCATCTTTTTTTATTTTTAGGCTCTATGCTGTTGGTAATTAATTCTCATATCTTGTCAGTTTCTGACTCTGGCTGCTTAAATTGCAGAGTGGGTCATGGAATACCATGAAAGTAGATTAGGCTTGAAGGTATTGCAACACCAAATTGATGACTTTATAACTGCTCATGAAGAAAAATTGGAAGAGGTAAATTTAACCTTGCATTTATACCCTTGATTTGAATTGTGACTCACAGTGAGCATCCTTTAATTTCCTGTCTTACACTAATATTACCTCTCTCTCAGAAGAATTTAATTTGAAAACTTTGTAAGTATCAGAAGAAGGATTGGATGCACATTTGATAATATTTATTCATTGCTTTGAAATTTGGCTGCATTGAAAGAGTTGTGTATATCTTGGCTTGGATTTTAGTTTTATTGATATCTTATTAATTGGAGATGTCAATTCAAATATCAGTTTCTAGGCTTTTTTTTTTTTTTTTTAAATCTACTAGTAGAAATTCTCATCATTACCTAGGGTGTACTTCAACATAGAAATTCAAGATTCCAAGTTATAATGGTCTTAGTTTTAATGTTCCCTCTAGTGGTGTGTGTTGGGTGATGTCTTAGCTTGAGCAGGCTTTTATGTTTTGGAGGACAATGTCTGGTTCTTGAATGGTGTCTAGTTCTTGAAAATGTATTTCGATGTGGGAGTGGGATTATTCCAGTTTGTATTGTAGGGAGTATCTTGCTTGGGAGGAACATATATTTATCTTCTTTTTCTGTTGGGTTATGTTTTCAGTTAAGGTTTCTTTTTCTTAGCTAGGCATTGTACTCTGTATACTTCATGCGTACCTGCATGTATGTGTTAGGACACATTAGCAAAGGAGAGTAATCCACAAATGAAATTATGCCATTAAAGAAGCTAGTCTGTTGGCCATTTTTTCATGAGAGACCATTTCAAGCACTGCCAGTACTTTCACTGTTGGCTCCACTTATCATATCATTTTAGGACCAGACTCAGTTAACCAATGACAATTTCAATTCAGTCTTTTGTAGTCCAAAGTCCAAACGAGTTTTGAATTCTGATACCATAATTCAATTTTGATTATTTAACAAATGGAATTTTGGAATACAATTCCATCTATCCAAAAATCAATATTTGGATTCCCCTTCCTTTGAATCTGACTGAAGCCTAAACTTGCTTATATGTTGTTGAGTTATATCTGTTTTGTGGATCATGAAATGTTTAAAACTCCATGGTTAAATTTAATAACTCAACGATCCAACATTTATTTTTGTCATTAATTTTGGTTGAAGATAAAAATGTTACTGTCAATGCAGGAAAGAAGAGAGAAAGAAGCCCATGCTGCAGAAGGGGGTTGGACTGTTGTAGTGCACCATAAGGGTAGGAAGAAAACTACCGACTCTGAAAGTGGAGTGGCTGTTGTCTCTGTTGCCCAAGCTGCTGTGGAGAATAAAATGGCCAAAAAGAAGCATAAAGGAGTGGGACTAGATTTTTACCGCTTTCAGAAAAAAGAAGCCCAGAGAAATGGTATGACCACCATTTTTACATGATGTTCAGCCATTCTTTTATCATGAAAATTTGTAGTGTTAAAAGCAATTAGTTAATAATCAAATGTAGAACAAACAAACATGGTGGTGGAAATGGATTCTCTCATCGGAAGATATACAATTTTGTGTGGCCTCAGTGAGGGTCTTTGTGTCTATCTATTTCCACATGACACTGTCATGTGAAACTCTCATAAGAGGATCCATTCCAGATGTTCATAAATGCAGAAGCCAGTCTTTTATTTTTTATTATGTTTGTATTTCTAGCTTTTTGACTTTTTTCAATGGTATTTCTTATTTGATATGTATGCACATTCTTTTTCCTTTTATGACAAGTTTCTCTTTCTAATGCACAAATATCTTTTTGACTTTCCCTTCTATCAGCTGTCTAGGGTTAACAATTATATTGACTGCTATTTTTGTTTGGTTGAATAATTCAAACCTATTTTGTTATTAAGTGTAGATATTTTACCTGAACATACTAGCAAGTTATGGTATGACTTTCTGCTAAGTGCTCGCTTCTCATTCTCAATGGTTATGGTTTGTGTTAAAACTCTGGCCGTTGTGATTTTCTATTCCCTATCTTTTTTCTTATTCTAAAGGCAATCGTAATTTGTGACACTGATATCCTTCGAAATTTTTTATTGTTGTTGTCACTGATACAATGTATGCTTTTCTTGCAGAGATCATGACCCTGCAGAGCAAATTTGAGGAGGACAAAAAGCGCCTGCAGCAGTTGAGAGCTGCCAGGAAATTTAGACCATATTGAAACAGTTTCTAGCATAGTGGGCCCAGAATTATTTTTATTTTCGGATGATAGGATACATGTCCTGGAGATGACTTGTCCCAGAGACCACAAAACTAGGACAGATTGGTTAATTTAACACCACGATTTTGTCTAATGTATTTCACAATTTAGTGTACCCAAGTGTTAATTGTAATTTAAGTTGCATAAAGTCCAGAAGAAAATTGAGTTATATGATTTTGTAGGGTTGATGAATCTGCTCACTTGGCCCGTTCCTGCTGCATCGTGATCTCATGTTGGTCTGTTTGCCAATGTTTTTTACTGTTTCAATATGGTCTAGATATTTGATCCAAACTGTTAGGAACCAATAAACACAATAGAATATCAGCAAGGCAAGATGGAAGAAAAACGATGGAATATTGTATTAATGGACTGATAAAGGAACAAACATGGAGGTAAAACTTCACTGCCGAGAGCATTAGCTCCTAATAGGGAAAACAAATGTTTTCTCTATCCAAAGCAACAAAACGCTAAAAAAGTAACCGAATCTCCTCTTTGATACTCCTCTCCTGATCTTATGCAATCGTCATTCCCTCTTCCTCTAACTACTTCTGCTACCTCACCAGATTCAATAGGATTCCTAGGGCCCACAACTTTTTACTTCCTCACATACACTCTATAGGATCCTGATGTACTATTTCCTTCATGGACCATTGGCACTTTTGGCCCATTAGGACTTTGGGCTGCAACATTGCCCCTTTCTTTAATATTAGTCTTTTCTTTATGACTGAGCCTTGAAAACTGACTCTTTGTCACTAATTCATCTTTCCAAGTGGATTCTTCAACTAGTTTTCTTGTCCACTGTACAAGTTATTGATTCACATGCTCCCCATGTTTCACTATACTTCTGGTAGTAAGGATTGATTTAGGATCTATCATTTCTGCCCTTACATCCTCCAAATTTTTTGGCAGTTCTGTTTGGACATTATAGTTCCCTATGGCCTTTTTAAGTAAAGACACATGAAAAATTGAATGTATCTTCGATTTTGGAGGTAATTTCAATTTGTAAGCCACAACTCCAATCCTTGAACTTCAAAGGGACAATAATATCTAGCTGCCAGCTTTGGGCTGATCCTAGTCATGATAGACTGTTGTTTACAGGGTTTTAATTTTAGAAAGACCCATTCTCCAACCTGAAAATCCCTCTCTTAACGGTGCTTGTCCGTTTGAGTCTTCATATGATCTTGAGCACGAGCTAAGTGAGCCTTCAATTGCCTAAGTGCCTTGTTCCTGTCCAATAATTTCCTTTGAACAACTTCAACATGAACTTCTTGTAAGCACTTCACAACAGTTGGGAGTTTGTGGCCATAAAGAGCTTCAAAGGGGCTAGTTCCCGTAGATGCATGGTAGGACGTATTATACCAATACTTTGCCCAAGATAACCAAGTCACCCATCCTTTGGGTTGGTCAATGATAAAACACCTCAAATGTGTCTCCAAGCATTGGTTAATCACTTTCGTTTGCCCATCCGTTTGAGGGTGGTACGAGGTGCTCATTTTTAAAATAGTCCCCGGTAGTTTGAAGAACTCTTTCCAAAAGAGACTCATAAAAAGAGGATCTTGATCACTCACCACAAAGTTAGGAATGCCATGAAGCTGAACTACTTCCTTCACACATATGTCAGCAATGGTTTTGGCTGTATAGGGGTGTTTCAAAGGTATGAAATGATAATATTTGGTAAGCTGATCCATTACCATCAAAATGGCTTGGTAACTCGGTAATAAAATCAATAGATAGATCTTCCCAAACCTTATCCGGAATAGGCAAGGGTTGGAGGAGACCTCCTGGAGCTGCTTGGCAAGTGTCACACTCTTGCACAAATTTCTACACCGCAGCCTTCATTCCTTTCTAGTATAAGTTTGTTGCCCTCCTTCTATAAGTTCTAAGGAATCCGGAGTGACCTCCTTGAGGAGTAATGTGGAATTCCTTTAGAAGAGAAGAAATCCAAATAGATTGCTTATCAATCACCATTCTGCCCTTAGAAAATAATACCCCATGTGCATATGTGAACCCCGGATGAAGGTTGGATCCTTGCTGCAGCTCTGTGATGACCTTTCTCTACTTTTCATTGGCATGCACTTCAGCAACTAGAACTTGACTATCCAACCACACTGGAAAATTGACCATTGCATTCAACTTTATATCCTTTTTCTCCCTTCTAGATAAAGCATCTGCTGCCTTATTATCCTTTCCAACCTTGTAAACAATTTCAAAGTTATATCATATTAACTTGGCTAGCCAACTTTGTTGGCTACCTGTAGAGGTACATTGCTGCAATAGTTGCTTTAGACTTTTTTGATCCATGTGAACTTTGAAACTTCTCCCTAATAGATAGGATCGCTAGTGTTGGATTGCCAAAGCTATGGCCATAGCTCTTTCTCATATGCTAACTTGGTTAAGTTCCGTTCACCTAATGCCTTACTAAAGTAAGCAATAGGTCTCCTCCTTTGCATCAACACAGCTCCAATGTCCAGCCCTGAAGCATCACATTCTAATTCAAATTTCCACTCAAAATTGGGAAGAGTCAGAATAGGGGCTGTTGTTAATTTCTGGTTCAATTCCTCAAAGGCAATATGAGCTCTTTCATTCCACTTAAAACCTTTTTTTTGTAAGCTCAGTCAATAGTTTTGCTATTTTCCCGTAATCCTTTATAAATTTTCTATACCCAGTCAACCCTAAAAATCCACGTACCCTTTTAATTGTTTTAGGAATTGGCCACTCAATAACACTGCGGATTTTCTCAGGATCAACAACAACACCTTCCTCAGAAATTATATGCCCCAAGTACTTCACTTTTGTTCACCTAAAACTACATTTTTTCTTGTTAGCACACAATTTATTGTTCCTTAGTAGCTTCAAAACAGCTTCCAACTATGCTAGATGACCATTCCAATCACTACTATATACCAAAATGTCATAAAAAAAAAAACTAGGATATACTTTCGCAGCGAATCGTAGAACACACTATTCATTAATGATTGAAATGTTGATGGGGGCATTTGTCAACCTGAAAGGCATCACCAAATATTCATAATGTCTTTTATGGGTGCGAAAAGCAGTTTTAGCAATGTTCTCTTCCTTCATTCTTAATTGATGATATCCAGATTTTAAATCAAGTTTGGAAAAATACCTGGACCAATAAAGTTCATCCAACAACTCTTCAATGACTGGTATAGAAAATTTATCAGAAACAATCACCTTGTTTAAGGCTCGATAGTCCACGCACATCTTCCACTCTCTATCTTTCTATTTTATAAACAATATTGGACTTGAATAGGCGCTTTGGCTCGGTTTGATGTGTTCTTTCTCCAACAATTCTCTCACTTGTTTTTCAATCTCGTTCTTTTGATTGTGTGGGTACCGGTGGGGTCTTACAATGACAAGTCTATGTCTTAGAAATAGAGTATTATGGTGCTCTTGAGCACATATGGGAGGTAATCCTCTTGGGTCACCAAAACTTCTTCAAATTGATTCAACAACACTTTCAGTTCCTCTCTTTGTCTCTCCTCCAACTTATCTTATGGGTACTCTTGTAATTTAGCACAAACTGGCTCTGTTGGGAACAACACTCCATCAATTACCACTCCAGAATTTTCCAAAATTGTGCAAAATAATCCAGGGTCTAATTCCTTCATACTCATTCCTCTAACAATCTCCTTGCCCTCATTATAGTGATTTGTATAGCCTGACTCTTCCAATCAATCTTCATTTCACCAAGAATGGTCTGCCAAGACATGCCCAAGATCATGTCTTGGTCTTCCAGCTCAAACAAATAAGCATCAATCGAGAAGCTACATCCTCCAGTTTCCAGTAGCAGATTTTCACAAATTCCTTACATTTTCGTTGTGTGCCCATCTCTCATTTGATATTCATACTTTGTGTGTTGCTTTGTGGCCACCCCATGGCTTCTACGAATCGCTGGGACACAAAATTATGAGATGCCCCACTGTCCACAAGCATTACGATAGGGACTCCCTGAATTTTTGCTCGTAGTTTGAGCATCTTGTGCTTGTTTCCATTCACATCAACCACCCCTTGCAAACAAACGACACTACACTCGTTGTCGTTGATGAATCCACTTTTTACTAAATTTTTATACATCATTTATTACTTTTTATAGAAAAGAATAGACTTAGATAGTGTAAATTAACCAAAAACTAAGAAATCTATATTATTTAGCCTTTATTTTGAAGAATTATTGGATTTTGAGGAATTTGAGGTGAAAGTAACTACTTTCAAGATTGATAGTAACCACCACAGCAAGCTACTTTCAGCAAAGAGACCAAAGTGATCACTTTCAAAGTTAAAAGTAATCACTCCAGAGAGCCCAGAATCCACTAAGCTGCGTGTAAACACTTTCTAAGTTTAAAGTGATCACTCCATAGGGTGCAGAATGCGCGTGTTCACTATGAAAGTTCATAGTGAACACTTTAGAGAGCCCAGAATTCATTGATGCTGCGCGTGTTTACCAAATTAGGGCAAGACTTCTTACATTTTTCGTACCTTTTGTCTTCCTTACTTAATTAGGACGATTTTCCAGAGCTTAGGGCAACATTGGGTGACAGCCAAGGGTCCAACCTAGGGTTTGGTTTCTCATTTTCCTTGCTTTTATATTAATGCCAATGAGTTTTCTGCATTTTCAACTTGCATTTTTGACCCCTATTTCTATGGAGGGCTAAATTTTGTGTAATCCTTGGTAAGTTCACATGGATTCTTGAGTTTCTTGATTTTAATGATAATATAATTCTTTTCTTCTCATGAATTACTTCTTCATTGTCTCTTGAATTGAATTAATGATGAATGAGGGGGATATTGCTTAATTAATCCTAATTCGTTTTAAGGAGATTCTAAACTAGGGATTGCTTAATCCTAGGTTTAATTCTAAGGTTGCATAACTTTGGGATGATGGATTAGAGCCTAGCAAATTGCGTAATTTCGTTAGGACCATAAGGTTGATTTTCACTTGTTAAATTAACCTAAATCATGGGAGAGAGAATGAATGTTAAATCTTGAGTGGAATGAGGATAGAATCTTTGTGGATGAACTAAGGATTACTGCTTTCTATTGTTTGAATTAATTAAACTTGTTTGCTTGCTGCTCTTTATATTGATTTGAAACCACAAAACTCTCCATTTTAATTGCTTGTTCAATTAATGCCTTCAACATGTTTAATAAAGATTAATAGCCAATGTTCACGGGAGACAATCTAGGGTAACCCTAGTACTACATTAATTTGTTTAAATTTTGATGAGGATTTGCGACAAATCTTTTAAACACAACATGAAGAAAAGTTCGTTCATCAGCCGTACTTGTCTTCCTCCTCACCGTGAATCAAGGTCAATTCATGATCCTCCACCTCGTATTCAACTTGCAATTGATCCTTAATCAACACCACCCTTAGTTGTTTAATGAGACAAATGTGGTTGGGCCATAAGACCCTCTGCACTTAAAACAGAGCTTTTTTTGCTTGCTTTCCATTTAGGCTTGATAGGCAAGTGTTTAAGCCCTATACTTCTTGTACCACCCCTCTCTTTTTCTGTTTCATTGCTCTTAATTCTGTTTGGGTCAGGCCCATTCATTGACCCATCAGCCCCATGTCTTATTGGATTGGCTTGCCTCACATAATTGGGAGTGGGTTTGACTATGGATTGACCCGCTCCATATCTCCCTTCACGGACCATTGACACCTTCAGCCCATTAGGACTTTGGGCTGCAACACAAACCCTATTGAAACAGATCACTTATAAATTAGTTAATGTTGCGATCGTAAATCAATGAATTAATAAATGACAAATAAGAATATCCAAACCCTATTGAAATGGATCACTTCTGGATTAGGTAATGTTGTCATCACAAGTCCATAAGTTAATATAAATGACGAATAAGAATATCAATCTTTAAAGGGTGTGAAGGAGAATATAACTATTTATCAATCAATTGTCATTAATCTCTTATACAAGCTACGATGTCAAAATGCTCAGTTAACTGAAAAATAAGTGACTAAGCAAGAATTAGTAAATAAATAATAGTATTCTTGCTATGTGCTTTTCCACTATAGTATTGTAAGGTCGTTTGTTGTATGTCAGAGATTCATGATATGGTGCTTGTACAGGGACACACCCTTTGCTCCTACAACAGCTCTACACACACAATGAAACTCTCAATATTACATTAGCCCCTAGTTTTGACTTGTTATTTTCCTACCTAAGGGCATCAACTAATGGCATCAACATCAGCTTGATTCCTTTCTTAAGTATAAACCCATAACTAGTCCAAAGAATGACAATATTGTTCGTTCAAATAAAAAGAGTTATCAAGAACTAAACATAACACTTATAAAGTGGTGTGCAACTCAGAGTGTATATTGTAACATCCTTGTTTTTATATTTATTATTATAGTATTGAATGTTCATTGTATGTGTGAAATTAATTAAATTTTGGAGAGTTTAAATGGTATAAGCTGCAAGATATCTCGCTGTAGTGAGAAAGAGCGTTCAAAATAAACTTTCTGACGCTCTCTCGCTGTAGCGAGAGATAGCTAATTGTGGCAAGAATGTAGCGAGTTAAGGGATATTTAAGGGTTTTCAACTTAGAAAACTTGGATTACAATCCAAGTTTTGACCTCTCCCTTGTTCTCTCTGATTTCTAACCCTCTTTTTTTAGAGATCTCCCCTAAACTTTGACCTTCCTCCGAATCCGGGCATGAAAGTTTACTCAATCAACTTCAAGTAAGTTCTTGGAGTTTAACTCTTTCATTTTTGTTTGTTTTCTATGTTTCTCCCTTCTCAAAATGCTGTCTTTTGTGATATCTAGGAAGAGCTAAGACTTTTCATCGAAACCCCTCATAAATCTTCCTTCAAAACTTTGTTTCGAGGCAAGGAAAGGTCTGTTTTGCCATTTTAAGCATAGTGAATATTTTGTACTCATGAGAGTACTTTTGTGTGTTTTCTTGTATATAAATAACATGATTGAATGATATTGGATTGTAGTGAAAGGTTATTGAAGCATGTTTGGCTAATTGTAGTATGCGTGTTTTGAACTTAGTTTGAGAGTGCTTTACTAAGCACAATCTTTTACTTGAATAATGAGACTGACACAAAAAAGAATGTGAGATGAGTATAAAGTGATGAATGGATCTAGTATAAATAGTTACATAAATACACTGAGAATATAGAGTTTGAATATAATGAAAAATCTGAAGGAAACATAAGGTGGTGAGCGACATTCGCGCATGTGTATACACCATTTCTGAGAGCAAATGCGCCACATGGCCTCATACTTGTTTTTTGACTAGACTCATGACTATACCTTTGCTAAGGGACCCGTTATTATATACATTGTATCTGTATGTATAGGTTAACTGATGGTTATTTATCTAATTATGTAAGACCTCAAAAACTGCTAGAGGCATCGTATATCTGTGATTACAGTGCACTGAGAGTGCGTATTTGAAAAAAAAAGGAATATAATGACTTGTGATGGAATATATGCATATGTGATATATAGCTTTTGAGATTGATATTATTATGTTTTCTTATGTTCCATGATTATGATTGTATTATGATATTGGTCTTTAAAATAGTGTTATGTTTAAATGATAAGATAAATGTTCATCCTTACTAAATATTTTAGGGAACAAGGATGACGACACCACAAAGACAACTTAGAATAGTAGACTATCTTGTTAATAATAAAATGAATTATGAATTTAGGGAGTATCAATGTTGTGTGTATTTTAACTTTAATATGGATTGTGAGGATGGTAATATATGGACTTTAGAGATAAATGTAAATTATGATGTTCCTTTAGAGTTTTCTGTAAATAGTCATACCCATCATATCCTTGTTTTTTATATCTATTGAAGGACAGTTAGACCTTCAAGAGTTATAAATAATGTTTTTACCTTCTATGATCATAACATTTTTGGGAGACCCACCTAGTATACTTTTGAGAAATTCTCAAGTATAGAGGTTGTGGCAGATTTTGGTGATGCCTACCTCAGAGAGGACAAAGAATTAACTACTGAGGATCTGGTTGAGATAGTGAGTTGGTACGATATTGATGACTAGGACTGGGTCTTCAGTGTATGGGTGTGGATAAAGACTACTCATAGGACTTAATTTATTTTGGTTATGTAAATATTTATTCTAAGTTTTACAACTTTTTGATTAGCAATTTGTAAATTATTATAATGTTCATATGTAAATAGAATTTAATATCTGTATATTTCTGTAACTGTTTCAATATAATGTAATTACTAAGTAATGGTTTACTTCGTACATTTTACTCCCTTGTTAATTTTGTAAACAAACTCATCCACAGAAATTTTTTACTTTCTTCTAAATTTTATGTTAGTTGTTTCAATTGAAATTTATTTTTACATCCTCCAAAAATGCATAAATTATAAGGTATTTGAGAATCCAAAATTTAGGGTATTAAATATATTAGGCTACATAGGCCTAGCTAAAAAAAAATTCAGCTAACTAACTCATTTTCACGCATTTTCTCTTTATGTTATTATTATTTGTATAAATTTCTTTATCAGGTTTTTTATTTAAATAATACAATTTTTAAAATTATTTATGAAAATAGAGTTCATAAAAAATATTTTTTTGTCTGATACTTTTTTGTACACGTTAAAAAATGTATCGAACTTCTATAAACGATAGTATTTTTTTTATCATTTTTTAAACTAGTATTAGAGGTTTTAGTTTAATACTCATCTTAATAATAACACATGACATGCGCAGAGATAATATGTTCATTCTTTGAATGAACTGCTTTAAATCTTAACAGGTGACATGACTTTAAAAAATTTTAAATTATAAATATAAAAAGGTTTAAATATAATTTTAAATATGTTTATAACATTTAAAATTAATTAAATATTATAAATATATTTAAAATTTTAAATTATAAATTAATAAATATATTTATAATATTTAAAACTAGCACATAGGATATGCATACTATAATTTCCTAAAATACGAATAATTTGGTCATACTAACTTAATTCCCAAATTTTATTTATATACTCTACTTTGTAATCTGACATTACTAATAGCAATATGTTACTATGTAAAACAAAAGACCCCAAAGTAATGAATTTATGAAATTATTACTGTAATTCCAAGTATCTCATAAAAGTTAAAACAAAGAATAAAATAAAATTAAATGAGTCATATAAAATCTAAAATTATAAATTAATAAATATACTTTTAAAAAATTAATAATTTTAAATATTATAAATATATTTAAAATTATATTTATATATATATATTTAAGATTATAAATATAAATTATTAATTTATAAAATATTATATTTATAATTTTAAATTTTTTAAATTCATATTACGTGTAAAGATTTAAAATATTATCATTAAGAATGAAGATATTCTTTCTACATATATAATATGTTATTATTAAGATGAATATTAAGCTAGAACTGTCGATACTGATTTAAAATATAATAAAAAATATTATATTTTTAAAAGTTCAATATACTATTTGATGTGGTAAAAAAAAGCATTAAACAAAAAATAATTTTTTATTAACTTTATTTTTTAAAAATAATTTTAAAAATTATATTATTTAGATAAAAAAGCTTGTTTATCATGTTGTACGCGTATATGTTTCCTGCTGTTCTGTCCTTATCTTGGCGTCCCACAACTGAAGACAGTACTTTTTCTAATTCCTGTGGGCTTTTTGGCATTGCCCATATGGGTGGATAAATGGGCATAGGGTTGGCCCATTTGACTACGGGGTATCTCATGCTTTTTGTTTTCCCTCGCATCCATTACATAACAGGTTTGGTTTCTGTTGCAGGTTGTACCTTAGTTAGGGTTTCTGTTTTCCAAATCAAATTGGAAGCTGTGAATAAAATTTCTGTTAGCTTCCATTGACATCATTCAAATAGAACAAAATGGGATCCAAAAATGCAAATGTGAAGAACCACAAAAAGGACAAGAGGAAGAAGAAGGGCGAGGATAGTTGGAATTCAAATCATTCAACACCAAATGATGGTAACGTTATCAGCGACCCTCGATTTTCAAGGGTTCACACGGACCCTCGGTTTCGTGAGGCTCCAAAGCGTGAAACAAAGGTGGCCATTGACTCTCGCTTTGACCGCTTGTTCACTGACAAGAGCTTTTTGCCCTCTTCTGCTCCTGTCGACAAGAGAGGCAAGCCCAAGAACAACGCTACGTCTCAACCCGGTTCTCTACGCCATTACTACAAAATCAATGAAAATGAAGTGGAGCAGATTAGTGACGAGGAAGAAGACGAGAAAGAAGAGGGATTGGTGAAAGCGAATCGTGTGAAACCAGAGAGTGACGAAGAAGAGACCAGTGAATCAGAAGAGTCTGCAACTGAGTCAGAAGAGGCCAGTGAATCAGAGTCTGCGATAGACACTGATACTGATACTGATACTGATACTGATTCAGATGAAGGTGCAGACGAGGAAATTTATGAGGAAGGAGCAACTGAAACGCAGGTAATGTCTTGGGTTTTAATTTGAATTTTCTAATCCCTAGTTTCTGTGATGCTGTTTTTAACATGGATTGGTCCTTTTGGATTGTTGTTAATTATTATTGTCTGGGCAGGAAGATATACCGGAGATTAAGAAAGAAACGCATAGGCTTGCTGTTGTTAACATGGACTGGAGGTATGTTAAGGTACGGTTGTGGTACAAGGGTAATGTGAAGTTGCTGCAATGATTTTTTTAATATTTAATTTTTAAGTGAGTTGGAACAAAGTTTTTCTTTGGTTTATATGTTGGTTATGTTGTGTTTATGTTTTGTTTTGTTAGGCTGTTGATTTGTATGTGTTGTTAAGTTCATTTGTCCCACCTAATGGGCTGATCAAATCGGTAGCTGTCTATCCGTCTGAGTTTGGTCTTCAACGTATGAAAGAGGAGGAAGTTCATGGGCCTGTTGGCCTGTTTGATGATGAAAATGAAAAAAGTGATGAAGATAGCAGCGATGATGATATTGAAAATGAGAAGCTGCGTGCATATGAGAAGAGCAGGATGCGGTAATTAACTATCTGAATCACTTGCTGTGTGATAATAGGCTTGACTCAGCTGGCACATAGATAAATCTGTCAAATATATTTTCACCTTTTATTAAGTATAACTTTAAATAGTAATTTTATCAGTTTATAGTGATTCTTATGATTTATTATTGAAGTATTATTTCCTTCAAGCACTGATTAGTGATTACATCAAGGTGTTTGTCTTATGCTATGAATTATAATGTTCAGGAATAAGACATATTTTACATGCTGATGTTAAGATGAAGGGTAATGTTCAAAGATGATGAATATCACAAGATCATTCTTTCTGCTTTGTTTCCCTCTACCTTTTTTGTCCCATTTTCTTATAATTTAGCATGGTAGTATGATCAATAATGTTTTATTGTTATGCATGCTGATGGGGAATTAAGCTCCCCCGAACACTTGGGAAGCGTGCATTGTTTTTCCCTTTTGTATGTCATGTCCATGTCTGATGTCTCACATGCCATTCATATTATAATTCCTCTTCATATGCAACATGGCTTTTTCTGAGTAAAGGGTTCTGCTGATAGATGTATGTATCCACAATGTTTAACTAACAAAGCAGAAGTAACCTTTACAATATTCAAAGTTTAGTATTTAAATTGATATGTTTACCATGTGACTTTCATGTCTGTCTCTTTTTTCTTGGTATCATTCTATATCTTGACTCTTTCTCTGGCTCTCCAGGTACTATTACGCTGTGGTGGAATGTGACTCAAGTACTACAGCAGATTGCATTTACAAAGAATGTGATGGTCTTGAGTTTATACAGTCATCCAATGCACTTGATTTAAGGTTTATTCCTGACAACATGGAATTCAAACACTCACCTCGAGATGTTGCTACAGAGGTATTTAACTTTTGATTGTAATTAGTGTGCCACAGTCTAAAATTTGCTTAGAAAATTGATTGAGGTAGGGTATTTAAATTCATATTGTCTCTCCCTATATGCACATGTATATGCTTATGCAATATAAAAATAATTGGTAAATTTTGACTCCTTTCTCTGCTTAGGCACCTGCAAACTATGAGTGTAAAGATTTCTATTCTCGAGCACTCCAGCACAGTAAGGTTAATCTTTCTTGGGATGAGGATGAACCTCTTCGTGTGAAGACCTTGAATCGAAAATTCACTGATGAGCAGGTGAAGTTACTTTATCATAACTTGTAAATGTTGTGGATAACTCCCCCCCCCCCCCCCACGCTTTTTTTTTTCTTTTGGAAAATTCTTGCATAGTTTTATTCTGGGGCTTTTGTGGATTTTCCCATCTTTTACATAGTCAGTTCTAGATAGTGTTTTTATTTATAAAATTATTTAAAGATTGCCCATACCTATTCCAAACAAAATTTGCACAATGTAGTGATGTATGCTTGTAAATATCCATGCCATGCATATACATAGATGCTCACAAACTATGTCTTTGTATCCTTGATAATTTACAGTACCTGTTTTGTATCTGCATGCAAGAAATTCAGAAGCATGGATATTCTTGTATATTATTATTATTATTATTATTATTTTTTGCAATTTGCTTCATACTGAATTCTCTTCCTATTCTTGCTCTTTAATAGCTAGCCCAGTTGGAATTGAAGGAATTCTTAACTTCTGATGAGAGTGAAAGTGATGGTGAGGATAACAATGAGACAGATCAGCCTGATAAAAAGGCTAGGAAACAAGATAAGTACCGTGCTTTGCTCCAATCTGGCAATGATTCAGATGGAGGCGATGAGCATGGAAATGTCCAGGATATGGAGGTCACTTTCAATACAGGTTTGGAAGATATAAGCAAACATATTATGGAAAAGAAGGATAAGAAATCAGAAACAGTTTGGGAAGCATATTTGAGGAAAAGACTTGAAAAAAAGAAGGCTAGGAAAAATAAAACAAAGTATATATCAGATGATGATGATGATGATGATAACAATGATACTGAACAAGAGGCAACTGAAGAAGCAGATGATTTCTTCATTGAAGAAGCTGCTGTTAAGAAGAGGAAGAGGACACAAAATAAAAATGAAGAGCATAAGCTCCAAGATATGAATGGGGTAGAGAAAGCAAGCAAAGAGGAACTTGAACTATTACTTGCAGATGAGAAGGGGACAAACACAGGTCTCAAGGGATATAATCTAAAATTTAACAAGGGCAAGGGAAAAAAGAGGGAGAAAGCTATTAATGAGGGGAAAATACCAAGCAGTGCATATGATGATCCACGATTTGCAGCTCTTTTCTCTCCTGACTACGTAATTGATCCCACTAACCCACAATTTAAAAGGTATTTTCTCTTACAGTTCTTGTGTGCTCTAATAAGAAACAGTTTATTGTAGATACTAGATAGCATCCAAACAGTGAGACAAGTGCCAACTTCAAGTTTTTCATTCTGACTTTCTCTCTCCCATAGGTTGAACATGGGATACTTATATCAAATATTGAAAAAATGTTTCTTTGCATGATTAATTTCTTTCAACTATTAAAGTTACATGCAGCTGGCTGCCAGGCTTTAATCAAATGAATAAGAACTTGCAAGTTACCCCATTTTACGGCAGACACTTGTTCATAAAAGTGGTTTTTGACCAGCCAATATTTATAGCTTTAACACATGGTACATTAGTTATAATCAATGTTCTTGATCTCTGTGATTATACATTGTGTGGTTCAAGAAGCTTGTATATGCAAATTTTTCATGCAGTAAACTCATTTTTCCCCCTAAAATATAATTATTGGTGTTTGCAGGAGTGCAGCACATGCCCGACAGCTAGCACAGAAGCAGCAAAAGGGTAACAAGGATTTAGGAGCAGAAAAGGATGATGTGAAACACGAATATATGCAGTTGTCCTCTGATGATATTGGCATGAAGAAGGTTGAGGAAGAAGGATTAGATGCTTTGAAGTTAAAGAAAGATAAACATGATTTATCATCTTTGGTTAAATCGATTAAGATGAAATCAAAGCAAGTTCAGTTACCCTCTGATGGTAACCGAAGGAAAGATGGAAAATCACAAATTAAAGGTATGAAGAAAAAGCGGCACTAGTTTTGAACCTTGGGGGTTCAAAGTTCTAACGACACACTCGAATGCAGGAGCGGAAGTATGAAGTTATTATGGTCTTTTTCACATGTTATAGAACCCAGCAGTGGGAAAGGAAGTTCAAGGAATTATGAAAGAATTGTAGACAAAAGGTGAGAAATGGAGATTCTGGTAGTTTTTGTCAGAAGCCTGGGTGTCTTATTCCTGACCTTTATCATCCAGTTGAAATTTTGAATCCACATAGTTAAAATACTTTTTATTTTTGTTCAGAATTACATGGATATTTAATATAGTGCGATTGAAATTCTAGTACGGTATAAATAAACGAATTTGATAGTCTTGAAACTTTTCCATTTTTTGGTTGTTCCACGGTCACCATTTTATTAGTAGAATCATAGTTGTATGTCCTAGAGCTTTCTTTTTTGGTTTATATAATTATAATAAATTTATTTTTCAGGTTAGTTAATTCACCAATCGATATTAAGTCATTTTGGGGGGCGATTTTAAAGATCTTTTTAATTAATCAACGTCATGAGATGATGCAAGCCAACTGCCATAAAACGCACAATTCTCTAGTTTACAGCTATACTGGGTACATTATAATTATATACACCATGATCAAATTAATGCTATTTAAACTGGAAAAAAAGAAAAGGAAGCCATAATGCTTCTCGTGCTCACCTAAACTTAAAAAATAGTAAAAACTATTAATTTGAATAATACAAGTGGAATGGACAGAGGAATGCTCAAAAAATGGCTAAAAGTAGAAAAAGGACCATCATAAATGTAAAAATAGGTTTGATCATGAATGAACTATTTGGGGGATTACTCGACGGATTTGATGTAGCCACGGGATTCACAGCAATAGCAGGAGAAACAGCAGGAGAGTGCGATGGGTTAATTGGTAATGTATTTGTGAGCACATCATCAGAACCTGACAGGACCCTCAATTTGTTTAAACAATCAATTGGAAAGATAAATAAAGAATGCAACGTTGGATCACTAAAGAGGTGTAATATACTTACAATCAGATTCCTTCCACCCTAGATTCATGTTGTCACGATCAAAGACTATTTTGTAACCAGTCATGAAGTTTTCTGCATGAAGATAAAATATAAGGAATGTTGCAAGCTTTTATCAATGGTTCAACAATAACGTGATGGAGGCCATGCATGTTATTGTAATAAGATTCACTATTGTTACCGGAAGAAGCAATTGAGACATATAATAAGTTGCAGTTGTAGCTGGTATGTTAATAGAAGGCCCGAATTGACCCAAAAACAAAACAAAATAATTGATAATTCTGAATGCAAAACTTGATGATGAAATATTCTAAAAAAAGTGTTAAATACTCACGTCCAATGATATTCAAGCTGTCACTTTTTTGGATACCCAAACAAAGTAAATCTCCTTCAATCTGGATATCACAAAAAAAAAAAAAAAAGAGCTTAAGAAGGTTTGGAATCATTAGATATCATAACCATAAGTAGAATTTTCAGTTTCTCACCTCACTAGAAACTGGCAGTATGGGATCCATGACATAATAATCATCTCCACCTTTCATTGTTAGATTTAAAAAGGGTACTTCAATTGTCTGATTTGGACTGCAAGTAAAGCGAAAATCAATACCTAACTGTTTAAAAAGAAAAATAAGTTGATGGCTTCTCTCAAGTCAATACCACCTTATGTCATAACAAAATTCAAAGGGGAGCTCAGAACCAGGATATTGAGATGAATGCCTATCTGCTTTGATTAATGAATTGAACTGCAAAAAGACAAAATAAAATTAACAACTCATATGATATGAGATTCTTGATCCCTTCTTAAAAAACTATAATATATATTACTTACCTTCTCAGCAATTAGTGTATAAGCCGGATCGTTTAGGTATGTAAATGAGGTACCAGAGTCAAAAATTGCATGAAACTCGAGATCAGCAGCATTGCCTCCCACAATAATTTGGGTTATGGTGACATTATAAGTTGGACTGGCAAGAAGTATCAAGGATTAAATAAGCACTGGTATAGTTATACACTATAATTTTTCTAATTTCTGTTGTATTTTTTGTGACTGCAAGTGACAACTTGTTGACAGAGAAACGAATGATAATATCTACCAATTTAGCTCCTCCGAAGTGATAAGATGTATAAAATGAGAAAGTGAGAGATTAATCACCAATGATTTGAATTAAAGTATTTTATAAATATAATTAATTTTAGATCAATGGTGATTAGTCTCTCTCGTTCTCACTTCATACATATTCTTACCTTAGAGGAGCTAAATCGAATATCTACTTACTGCAATGGCCTGAGATTGAATGGTGTTTTTCCTTGGTCCTGGCTGCCACTATCCCCGAATGTGATTCTTCCAGAACCATCAGGTCCAAAACACATTGAAAAGGAATTTGAAATAATCCCCTGTTTGGCTAGGATGCTAGGGACAGACATATTATCCATTCCAAGTCCAAATAGACCATTTGGAGCTGCCCCATTTAGAAACACACCAGTCTGAATTTGGCCACAACTGCAACACATTAGTAGCAAGAAAATGAGAAATTTAAAAAACGAAAGCAGTTTCAAAGAGAATCAGACAGAAGCAATGGTATTGAAATGTTAATTTAAGGATTAACTTGGAAATTCCTAGACATCACTTGCTATTATACCATTTCATAAAATGTTGTTCTAATAAGTATAGTGATGTGTTTTGGCCAAGAATTTATTGACATTGAGGCTTCAAATGCATATACTGTTAAAAAAAACTCAGTAAGATGAGTATTTTACTACCCCAAGGTAATTTGTGTATCAGCATCTTTTGTTTGATCATCATCTGTAACTAAGTGCAACACATCCTCTACCAAGAATCCAGCAGATGAAGTATCATTTGAAAGATAATCAACTTGATATCTACAACTGCTGCCAGATGAAGGGCATTTTCTTTGTTTACAAAAGCTGCTATGGTTGCATGAAACTTTTTTGCTTGTGGATGACTTATCAAGATCATAGATATTAAATTTAATTATCTGCCAGAGGAAAGTTTAAATAAGAAAAAGAGAATGAGACGCACAACTAAAAAGTCGTCTCTTTTACCAAGGAAACATAGTAATACAAAGAGATCACATGTATACCTCTCCCCTTGGTGTCTTCAAACGGCGCACACAACTAGTACAATTGCAAGGTAACCAAAACAAGTCACTCCCTGTATCCAATGCCACCTCAAACCATAAAGGTGGCGTCCCAACCGAAACATTGGCAAAATGCAAACTGAAATCCAAATACCGAGGAGAAATTTTATTACATAAACAGCATCATAGAAAATACCTCACATAACTCATCATTACACCCTTTTGCCGAAAATGTTAATTTTACTAAAATTAGAAACCTTTTATTCAGAAAGAAAGTTTTTATTATAATAAAAATATAAAAGATAATTAGTGTTTTATTTTATAATAAAAGCTTACTCTTATAAATTGCTTAAATTCAATTTAAAGGACAAATTAAACAAATTAAAAAAAAAAAATACAACAGAAGGTGGGGATATATATCCTTTATATAATCAGGCTCAATTGTCTTTACAAAACAAAAACGCTCAGGCTGATTAAGTGCTTGGAATTTTCAAGGATAATATGTTCTTTTTCAACGGATCACATCACTTTCCCAAACAAATATTCCTCTGTGGATTTGACACAAAATTCCGATGAAAACTATGACCCCAGAAAAGTTATTTATATTTTATTCTAAGAAATAAGAGAAAATAAACAAAAGTTGAAAAATTGACAAGTGGGGGTGAAGAATTCTCATACAATCCAAAGGCAGAAATCTGGTGAGTGTCATTGCCGGCGGCGAAAGTGAGAGGCGTGTGGTGATCGGCGGCGAGTCTCCGGCCCCGGAATATGCGATCTCTGTGGACCATAGTATCATAGTATTGAGGAGTTCCCTTTTGGGGAACATTATCAATGCCCAGAATCCCCTTAACCGGATCCGAAAACCTGTGGTGTATGTCAAACCCGAATGAACCCAAACCATAACAACTCTGTGAAGCTAAACTCAACAGCAACAACGCCGAAGTCACCCACACACATCCATGGCCACGGTCACAGCCACAAGACCAAGCCATGACTTGAAGCTAACAAACACTATGTGGCGTGGCCAATAATGTTACAGAAAATGTGCAGTGCCAAATGCCAAATGCCAATAAAAGGAAAATGAAAAGATATGGTTTTTGTGTTATGGTGTCTGACACAAATAATTTTCAGACATTTAGAGAGAGAGAGAGAGAGAGAGAGAGAGTTAAGATTTAAGAAAGTGTGGTGTTTGGTCGAGGACTCTAGTTATACACAAGGGTTCAAATGTTACTTCACAGCCTAGGGACTTGTACCACACGTTAAAAGGGTCCCATGATTAAGTACCTTCAATTTAATTTGATCATTAACATCGTTTATCACATTTTTCTTTTCTTAATAAATAATGAAATTGGTTTCTTAATTTTGCGTGATAAAGATTATGTTTAAGATATTTAAATGGGTATTTTATCGGATAAATTAATTCTAACTTGAAAATTTAAAAGTTAATTTGAGGCTTAATTAAACTTTTAGAAGCTTAAAAATTCATCATTTTTATTTTAAACAACTCTTTAAAAATAAATGTTATAAAATAGTTCATTATGTCTTTTTATTTTATCTCTTGAAATATAAAAAATTGTACTATTTTATCTATAATTTTTTGAGAATCTGAAGAAATACTCATGATATTTATAAAAATTAAATAATTTTTTATTTAAAGAAATCAGATAAAATGTTTGTAAAATAATAATTTTAATATAAATATTATAAAAATTTATTTGAAAAATGAAATGAAAGATTAAGTAAAAAATATACTTTATAAGGACAAAAAATCAATTAATTAAACTAGTAAAAGACATATTTAAGAATTAATTTAATTAATAATGTTTATGTTGGGGAAAATTCAGATAAGTTTAATGGTTGACCTGTGTACACATCTTTGCCTTTTTTTCCATTGCTTTGCTTCTGAGACGTGGCCCTTTTCACTCGTTCATCTTTTCTCTAAGTGAGTGTACAAACAATTACACAATTGAATAACATCCCCAGTTTGAATCATTTTCTGGCAGATTCATGTTCATTTTTAATTCTTTGACATTCTTATAAGGAATCGAATGTCACTGTACCTATTACTATAAAATAACTTGCACATTTCCCCTTTGTTCTGTTTCTGGTACTACATCTGAATACCTGTCGTTATTTTACTTTTTGAATGTCATTATTTCATTATTATTTTTTTCAAAAATAATTATAAAAAGACATAAGGTTTAAGTATAAAAATTATATTAACTATTTAGAAATAATAATTTTTTTTATTTTTTTCTCTCTTAAATTTCTCTCTCCCCTAAATATTTAGAAATGAGCTTTCTTGTTTACGATATTTATTAAATTATTTTTTAATACATGTGATTAAAAAAATGTATCTTTCATTTTGTTTATTTGCTTTATTTAATACTTTTAAAATCTAAATTTGGTATTAGACTTTTTATTAAGTTTAGTTTGAATTTTTTAAAAATTTAATTTGATCTATTAACATTTTTTAATAATTTATTTAATATTTAAATCTTTAATAATTGTTAAAATTTTCTATAAATAAGCTATCAAATCATATAAATAGATATGTTTATGGGAAGATCATAAAATATATTTAAATAAATTATAAAAAAAATCAACACTTTAGTTATATATTTTTATTTATTATTTTTAAATTATATATTTAATTTAATTAAATAAATTATTGAACATAAAATAAATATAATTAAATAAACATTACTTCAAAAATTATTAAATAAATCTAATAATATAAAATTTACACTTTTTTTTGTTAAGATAAAGTTTATACTTTAAATTACAAACAAAATATAATTAAATAGTTTTAGATCTAAACTTAATATATGTAACAAATAAAAATTTAAAATACATAAATAAAAATATTATTCTAAAATAAAGTATAAAGTATAAAGTATTAATAAAAAAATGAATCAAATAACCGTAGGACGCAAAAGATTATAACAAATACGATATTTTCTTTTTTAAAGTATGTAGTGAAGATATGCTCTAACTTTGATAAAAAAAATAAAATTTTTAATTTAAGATTTTATTATTTTTAAAATTTAATTTATTTAATATAATATTATAATTTTCATATAAAATTATTTAATATATTATTATAAATTTTATATGTTTTAAATAAACTATTTTATTAAATTTAATAGAATTTTTTTAATTTCAAGTCTAACTTATTTAACTAATTATATATTTTAAAAAATTTAAATTAAATCTATTATTTAAATAATTAAATCGTAAAGTAGATAATTTGACATATTTTCATTCGTACTTATTTATTAAGTAAAATTTTATCTAGATTAATAATTTTAAATTTAAATCCTTATAAATAAAGATTTGACTAATAGACACTTACATAATTTTTAAAACAAGTATCTTAACAAGTTGTAATTTTAAAAAATAAAAAATTTAACTTGTATTAACATATTTCTTTTGAGAAAAAAAAATAGTATACCTTAGTAGTCATAAACATTAATATGTGGGTTTAATGACATTTTACTTCCGTTGTGTTTAATATGTGGGTGACTGAATGCCAAGTCTTCCATTATTTCTTAATGGTATTAGCTAATAATAATCATACAACATCTTGATCTTTACTTAAAGGCTTATCATCGTATACACGTAACAGTTACTGCATTGAAAATGATTTGTATTGCAAGATGTATCTTAGAATCCAAAACTTGATTAAAGCCCAACCCTGTGATTACTTTACAACTAAACTACAAGTCAACCCTGTGAGGGAAAAATAAATTATTGTATCAGTCAACTCTTAAAATATGCATAGTCAACCTTACTTTTAATTTAAACGTATGTAATTACCTCTCTTACATGTTAGTAATTTAAATTTTTATTTATCCAAAAATGAAATAAAGAAATCATTGAAAAGAAGAAATGATGAATAGAAAAAGTAAACTCAACGTGTAACACAAATAATGATAAGCTTAATACGAGTAGAGGTGAATAGGGTGCTGCAATTGCAAAATTAGCATATGTTCCAGAGTTAGGTGTTTGATATTTGCATGAATCATGATCCGTATATAATTGAGGTTACGCCTTGTGGCGTGAAAAATTCCTTTTAGATTAAATATTTTCATAATTAATATATTATTATTACTATTATTATTATTATTATATGTAAGTAGTCATATAAATTTTTAAATCCCACATAATGATAATATTGTATACTCAATGTTCTCTGGAACAAAATAAGGATGACACCCGATCTCTCTCTCTTGAAGCCACTTGCCATCAATGAAATGTGATCCTTCGTAACCTTAAAACACGTAGCAGGTTTGTTAACAGTTATCCTAAGCTATGTCCACGTGACACAAATAAAGAAGAGTGAATTAAACTCTCAATAAAATAATAATAATAATAATAATAATAATAATAATAATAAAATGTAACATTTTTACGTTTTATTCTATTCACAAATTTCTTCTTAATCATATCACATAGATGAGGAAAGAATAACAATGCGTAGTCTTTAAATTAAACGATTAAAGTTGCTTAGGTATATGGGGTATCAGATTCTCGACCTTTCTAGATTAATAATATTAATTAATTTTTTTTTAAACATTAACATTTTATTAGAGATAAATTTAGAGTACGAGTAATACTCTAACTTGTTACAACTCTAAATAAAATTAACAATATATATTAAAGGATCATTAATCTAATTCATAATCGATCTTTTCAAAAGTCATGCTCTAAGCAACTTCTGAGATATATATTTCAAGCATTTGACTCAAGTTTTGATCTCTTCAATGAATTGTTTTTTCTAAATTTAGATTAAGTATGTAACTTGGATTTGAAACTGTACTTCTTCCTCTTTGTCTTACAAAGTGTACTTCTGACATTAATTTTTTCTTGCACTACCGCCTCAACAACAACATTGGATTGAAGGAAATCTAGTCCTTATGTAATTTGTCTTGTTTGACTCATGAGAAGACCCAATAATCAGGTCATCAGATTCGCCAATAAACTTTTTTTGTGCCACATCTTTATCTCTGGTTGGTCCCTTATCAATAATAACAAGTTGCCATAATCCCTCCCATGTCCCATCAATTCTCTTCCTTATAAGTTTCGACCAACAAAGGCTCGTATCAATGAGTCTCTTTTCCAAACGCATCCTCACCCAATCACACAACAGCTACATTATTATTGAAAATCAAGTCATTATTGATATTCACTTTATAATTTGAATTATTTCTCATTTGCACATCTGCTACGTTCTTGATGGAATTTGATTCCGTACTTTCAAACTCCTCTTGATGTCGTGCAATGTCTGACAAAGAATCACGTAAATTTTGTCCCTGATAATTCATCTCCTATTCCCCTCCTTCGTGCTCTCCATACCATTTTTTGTCATTATTTTTTTCATGCGCTTCTTGTCTTTAGATCACGGCCTTTCTCACCATCATCTGAACTTTCATCTTCCAAAGTGTCCAAATCTAATGAAGTATCGACATAACTCTTTGATGATGAAATATTTGAATCATGATACCACCAACCTCTTTGAAAGAATTCTTCCCATGTTCCTTGACCATTTGGATTGAGAACACGAGATCATTAACATGAATTCTTAGATCTTCATTAATCAGTGCATGTGTTTGAGTCCGTAGGTGAACTCTTGCAAAATCCATATGTCATCGTCCATGCATACAAATTCTCTTTGCGGTGACACCATCGTCTGAAAGAATGCATGATATGCATGGCGTACAAACAAACTCAGGGTTCCCTTATTAACAACCACCATACGAGGATGTCACCAATCAATGGTATAAAATAGCTTAGACAAACCATTTTTATACCTAGCTATAACCTTCCCAGATCCTCTGAACCCTCTGATTCCAATAGAACCATATCGTCACCTATGGTAATAACCTTGACCTTCAATATGGATTCCTGTAAAAGGAAGTCAACCACACTATTGAGCTTTTCTGGCCGGTGTAACCTTCCTACTATCGCCTTGCAGCACCTATCCTAGTCAACATGGAACTCGTTGCGACACCACTATTTTTTCTTAAATACCCACACCGCATGCTTGTTTGGCCCTCCAACAGCACCATTCCCCTTCACCATATCTGCATAACTTTGTCCACCAACACTACCTCTTCCTTCTACCTTGGTCCCAACACCGGTCAATAGTTTTGACACCTTCTCATGCATAACATTCTAAGTTTGTTTCATGATTTCCTGTTTATTGTCAGCT